TGTCATGCGATTTCGTCGTTCTGTGGGGTCGTCATCATGTAGGGCACCACTGTATCTGATTTGATTGGTATTGGATCAGTGGTCCCCAACCTTTTCGGAACTGTGGACCAGTTGGGTGGATGGGGTCCATGTGCAGGGGGCGGGGCCACCCCCGTGCTCCTGGGTGGCCGTGGCACGTTTATGGGGGGCATGGTGAAAAAAAATCTTCATATTAGTGGAAAAGTTTCAAGCCAGTGCAGTGGTAACAGTTCACATAGCTTGAAAGCTGCTGGGGTACATGGCATCCGCCACAACTGTCATCATCCATGCCAAACTAAAGATGAGATCCCTGTGTTCTTTCAGTGGTATGAGGGGCAATAATCAAAAGAACCTCTGAGTAACTACAGAACTGAAAGAGCAGCTTCTACTGGGGGAGGAGATTCTGGAAGCGATTCAGGTGTTTGTATTTCTAATTGCTCAGCATTCTCCTCAGCCACAATTAACCCTTCAGGTTCCAGATCTTCAGCTGCACTCATGACATACACACGCAAAGTGGCACCAATAGGATTTCAGCCTCTAATATACCACATCAGCACCTATCCAATGGTAGTTATTACTGTTGCTACTTATAGGGATGGAAGACTATTATGACTTAGTATAATGAAAAAGATATTGCACTTGTTTTATTTCAAAAGCATGTCTACCAAACTATGTTGCTGTTCAGAGGATAACCATAAACAATCTGTATGTTTTTTAAAAGAATGCAACCAAATGATTCTTGGTGTTCTTGGTGTTACTGACTTTCTACAAGTACCTCAGTTGAGTATAAATCTTAAAGCTCAAATGTGACTCTTACCAGATTACTTCCTCTGAAAGCATAAATCTGCTGCAAAGTTCCAATGTGAATGTTATCCAGATTGTTCCTTCACTGGTTAAGGAATAAAGTAAAAGTCAGTGAAGCAAATGAGAATCATGTTTTGTGAGGTATCTTATTGAGTAGGACAGGAGGAGTGTATGCTTCTCTCTCTCTCTCTCTCTCTCTCTCACACACACACACACACACACACACACACACACACACCTGCTAATGAGCATTGGGACTCATTTAGGAAATTAATACAGAGAAGCAAATTGCAGTGTTGAGACTTTGAAATAAGTTGGTTTTGTGTTGCAGTTTGTGCACTTGGGCTCAAAAAGCTTTGCTATCACTGCCCTAAATAACTGACCCTAACCAGGGATTCTTGAGAAGATGTATTTAGAAAACAATTTGCTTCATATCCCAGAATGACATATTTGTATAAGTATGGTTTGTAGCTCTGGTAGATTACAGTGGTACCTCGACTTACGAACTTAATCCATATTGGAACGGTGTTCGTACGTCAAAACATTCGCCAGTCGAAGTACCATTTCCCATTGAAATGCATGGGAACAGGATTAATCTGTTCCAGCATTTCAAAAAATACCAAATAAAAATGA